AATAATAATAATAATAATAATAATAATAATAATAATAATAATAATAATAATAATAATAATAATAATAATAATAATAAAGTTGGAAGGGACCTTGGAGGTCATCGAGTCCAACCCCCTGCTCAGGCAGGAACTCTACACCATTTCAGACAAATGGCTGTCCAGTCTCTTCTTAAAAACTTCCAGTGTTGGAGCATTCACCGCTTCTGGAGGCAGGTTGTTCCATTGGTTAATTGTTCTAACTGTAAGCAGGAGACTCTGAGTTCAAGTCCCACCTTAGTCATAAAAGCCATCTGGATGACTTTGGGCCTCTGGCCCTCTCTCAGCCCAGCCCACCTCACAGAGTTGTGGAGGGAAAAATAGCAGGAGGAAGGTGTTTTGGATAGGTTCACTGCCTTGAGTTATTTGTAAAAATAATAAAGGTGGAATACAAATAAATTTTAAAGAAGATTATGGAAAAGAATGCCTGGATTCTCTGCTTCTCACTACATACTGTCCACATTAATCTCTGTTAAATAAAAAGAGTTTTGATTCCCTTTCAGAATTTTACCATCAGCATAGGAAAGAGAACAGGGCAGTGGTGATGCTGGAATGCATTTCTATATTTTTCTTACATGTTCTATTTTTCAACTCCTAAAGAGGGCTTCTCTAGGGGTTCCTAGAGGTTTTCTCTCACAAACTGAGAAATGATTAAGCTTCGAAACATTCCTTAAGCTGGCAAGCTCTACCATCGTGGGCTTTCATACAGTTGCATCACTTGATCAATGCTCCTGTAGCAAGCAGTTTTCTCTATATCAGTAAGGATGGGCACAATTGTGCACTTCTGTTCCACTCCCGTTTTTATTTTCCCAGCCATAAATTTGTTCTGAAACTTTTACATGAGTTTGAAAATTTTGCAAACGTTCCAAAAATTCTGGATAAATACATTTTGCTTTTTGCATCTAGTTTTTGTTTGCATTTTTTCTTTGTAATGTGCAATTTGTTATATTCATTAAGGGGCACAGACACACACACACACACACACACACACAACATACTTATTTTGTGCACATTTTTAAGTTGTGAATCACACTGAAAATTTTTATAAGGAAACATAATTTGTACACAGTTTTCATTCACTTGTAAACTGAGAAGTATGAATTAGTGGACATATATCCAAGTTATTGAAATTATCAACATTAACATTATCATTTTTCAACATATCACAGTGCAAGAATGTCTAGTCTGCGTCATCATGTTCCTCATACAGAACAAATTTTTTACTCTTTTTCTCTTATATGTGCCTTTATGTTCCTTTGAACAAAAACAGACCTGAAAATAAAAATTACCATAGTATAAGATTCTCATTTCCCATGCCATGTTTATATGTATCAAACAAATGAAAATCTTAATATTTTCCATTTTATTTGTGTGCTCTCTTTATTTGTATGATTTGTTCTAGAAATAAGCGTTGGATTGTTATAAAAAAAAAACCTGCACCTTCTGCTTCAGAAGAAACTTTTTATATACTCTCATCCTACGGCTTTAAAATAAAACTATAAATTACTATAAATAAAGGTGTGGGGAAATGCAATATTTTACAATTTTTTTTAATGTTCCTCTTTCATCTTCAGTATATAATAATAGCTACTTTAGCTGATTAAAAAGAATCTTCCATCATAGAAATAAATTAAGATGAATGGAAGAATGAAAATAGCCAGCTAATGAATTTGTCATAAAAACAGTGAAAATAGACAGAACCAGCTGCTAGGTGTTGTGATATAGAATCTGTATCAGTATCTGTATAAATATATGTTAATCTTAATGCCTGTGTACTGTGTTTTATTAAATTTCTAGCCTGAATTAACACTTTCATTAAATTCCATTCATTTCAAACTCTGTTCAGACCAGCATTAACTTAAATTCAGTGGAAACTAAGAGGGGAAGCTGATTCATACTTTCCCATAATAAGATTGACAGAACTGTACTAATTCATGGGCATTTTCCAATTTCAGTGGAAATGTGTGTACTGTATTTTTGCCTTATCAATCTGCTCTGTTACTCTGTTAAGAGCAAATCCTTATTCTTCTGAGTGGTCTGATTAGAGGGGCCATTTTGTTGTTTGTCTTAACCTACCACATGCTTGTTTCCTTCAGTGTGATCAACAGACATTTATCTATGAAGATTGGGACAGGACAGGCTTCAAAAATTATCAAATGGAAGAATTAGACCTTGGATAAAATGAAGCCTCTCCCTCCCCCAATAGAATTAACATGTTTTGATGTGTAAATTTTTTAAATGTATGATTTTTATATAGGCTTAAAATCAATCAGAGTGTTTCATCCTGAATAAGTCAACTTGCTATTTTTTTTTCTTGCATGACATCATATTTAAAAAGCTAAATTTCAGCAGTGACCAAAAATTTCAATATTTTGTTCTTTTTTGTGGGTGTTCTGTTTGTTTGCAGTCAGATGAGTGAGCCTCATAGCGGTTTGACGCTCAAATGTGCCAAGTGTGGAGTAGTTTCAACAACAGCTTTGTCAGCCACCACCGCCAGTAATGCCATGTTAGTCCTAATCATTTACATCTTCTTGTTACAAATCTTATGCAGTGCATGTGAACAAAAAAAATGCTACAGTGATGAAAGATTAAAACTGCTAATATTGAACATAATTAATTGTTTAAAAACGGAAAAGGAAAAATGGCAACCGCACCTTTTAATTCAACTGGATAATATTTTACAATATCAGTTTTTCTATAACTATATAACGTCATGGGTTTTCACATTAAAAAAAATATGTTGCCATCCTTAAGTAAGATTTATATATTTGGATATGCCTGTCTCTCTATAGTTGATTTTGCTTTTGTTGTTCAATAGTCCTACAACCTTTTTGTTGCTTTTATCTTTCCTCTCTGTCTCTGTTTAGGGCATCCCTGTGGAGTTCCTGTGTTGTTCTACCTCTCCTGGCTCTCACTTGGATGTCTGCAGTTCTGGCAATGACTGACAAGCGATCCATTTTATTTCAGATACTCTTTGCTGTATTTGATTCATTGCAGGGGTTGGTCATTGTCATGGTTCACTGCATTCTCCGAAGGGAGGTAAGAAACCACTTCCTGATGTTGTCTTCCAAATCTTCTATTTCTATGAAATTTTACAACAACCCAGAATGCTTCCTGAGCCGTGGTGGCGCAGTGGTTAAAATGCTGTATTGCAGGCTAACTCACTGCTCACTGCCAGGAGTTCGATTCTAACCGACTCAAGGTTGACTCGGCCTTCCATCCTTCCGAGGTCATAAAATGAAGACCTAGATTGTTGGGGGCCATAGGCTGACATTTGTAAACTGCTCAGAGAGGGCTGTAAAGCATTATGAAGTAGTATATAAGTCTAAATGTTATTGCTATTCCTAGACATCTGGCTTGAACCTAACAATCTAACTATCCCTGAAATGAAGACATAAGAGATCAAGAGTGTAACTTTTGTTGTACTCAGTGCTGATCCACAATGAGCAATAGCAGAACTATGACAGCAGAAAAGCTATACCTCCCATAGTTTATTTGCTACTACATATCAGCCTCATAGCCGGAAGTGTTGTTGTCCTCACTGAAAACAGTGCAGCTTATTTGCAAATGGGTTGATATTCCTCTTCCAAGCTTTTGCTGGGAACAGAAAACTCCATCTCTGGAGAGTCTGTCCATTTGCAACTGACCCTGCATACATTAGACCAAATTTTCTGCTTTAATGAGTAAATCTTGAAAAGAGTACTGAGTTTTTTGCTTCTCAATTCAAGGAGTCACATATCCTATCTTGAATTCAGTATGGCTTTGCTAAAGTAGTTCCTGTTTCTTGGCCCCCTGAGAGATCATTCCATAAACAGAAAAAAAAATAGCCACAGGATAGAAAATGAGGTCTGCTCCACCTCACCTTCAAGAAGCCCTGTAGTTATCGCCCACCAAGTAGCATTTCATTCTGGGAATCAATGGGGCAAAATAAGTAGCTACAGGTGGTTGAGTGAAAAAACGGTCTTCCACAAGGTCAATAATTTACCATTGAGGGGTAGTAAAAGAGTAGGCATTAAGATATCTCTGACAGCCACACTGGATTTGGTCATTAGATGTAAGCTTGTCCTGAGGAAATGATTAGTAGGGCAACTTCATGTTTCAATAAGCAGAAGATGGATTGGTAGATAGTTGTATATCTTTGGAAGACTGATAATAGAGACTCCGGCATTTTTAACTCCCAATAAGTTATCAATAAATATTTTCACTGCCAGTGTATTAGATCATTATAAAAAGAAAGCCAAGGGGTCCTATGCATAAATCATCAGATATAAGAAACTGTACCTGATGGAAGTTAATTCTCAGGTTGAACATATGATCAGAGGCATCTAGGTTCCTAATTCTAAATATATAAAAATCTCATTTGCTACCATTTTAAGTTTGATTCTGATAAGCGGATTTAAAATTTTTGTTTTAAAAAAGGGGGGGAATAAATTTGTCAGACCTATAATCTATCTATTGGTCCTACCACGATTGTGTTTTCAATTCGTATCCAAGAAAACCAAGTGGGCTCAAAATTTTGAGCAACATGATGATAACTTCAATTTCTACGTATGGTTTCAAACCTTATCATCATTGGGTAACTATAAGTTTAGAACTTTTGCTGCCCTATTTATATTTCTGACCCCCTCAGCTAGCATGGGAGGCATTCGAGATTATGGGAGTTGTACTCCAGAACAGCTGAAAAGCATCTGGTTGACAAAACTCTAGAATGTTGCTACTATTTAACACAAACACTCTGAAGCAGGTGATAGTGATTGCTTCTCAATTTGCCTGCCCACCTGGAAGGGTGCTATAAAAAAAATGAAAAATCCAACATATTTAATCTTATATAAGCCATATTTAAAATGCACCTTTTATATACATGAATTTAAAAATCTACCACACCAAGTAGCTTTCTAGTCAGAAAATAACTCATAATGTTATGAAGATTAAAGCATTTTTGCTTCCAAGGAGATCCCCAAAGTACTGATTTCTGATTTTGTGTATTCGGGACTTTAATGAGTCTTCTTTCCCATCTAAAAAGGTACACAAGTTCTAAAGTGCTTTATTTAGATGGTTCTTTTTTTTTTAGTAAAATTTTAAAACATGCCTATATTGTTGGATTAAAGGATTAATGAGTTCCGTATCTCATGCCTGTCATTTATCCATGTGAGATACGGAATCTGCCTCTAGCAGGCAAAACAATAAATCTGAATGTCAAATGACTTGTCACAGATAATGTCAAATCTTAGAGTAAAAAAAATCACAGTTGTTTTGTTCTGTCACTACAACAACATAACGCATAGAAAGCATCAAAAACATCATCGGTCATCTATTTCCAGTCTAAATTTTATCTCCAGGAAAGAATAGCGTAGCGAGGTCAAATTGAGAGTGCTCACCCTCTGCTTTGGCATCTCCAACAATGTCTGTACTTTGCTTCAGAAGCTATACATCTGGAGAAGAAAAATATCTGCTCCATTTGTTTTAACCTTTCAAAAACTCAGCTCAACCCTTTGGCTAAAGTTTGCAAGGGAAATCACTCACCTTTCTTGTCCCTCATATCCTGTCGTATGATGGCCCCTTTCCTGAGATCACTGTATAGCTTTCAAAAAGTCTCTTACTTGAGGTTCTTTGCGTGTTCTGCCTTCCTTCCAAGCTCCATTCCACAATCTTATACCCTTATTTATTTCCTTCTCTTCAGAGCCCCTTCTAATTGGCTTAGCAGTCCTAACATCCAGCTAAGAGAAAAATTACATTTCACGAAGTTGCATATGCATATAATTTTATTCCCTGTGTTGCAATTCTCTAACTCCATCTTTGCCTGTGCTAGGTGGGAGTCTGGACATTCACACATCCATATTTATTATATTCCATTATCAGAAATGTAAATTGGAAAGAGATCTGCCTTGTTCTTCCATTTGCTGTTATAAAATAAATTAAGAGACATTTCATGTTGAGTATATGGATGGTGTTCTACTGTATTGATATGGTTGCTGTAGTGATGATAATCTGTCATTTGAATGATGTGTGGATAAGAAAAGGAGATCTAAAATAATTAGGGTCTTACATGTAATTCATCTCAAGGTAGCTTGAATCAAGACCTAATCAAATATAGAGTGAATCCAGTGTTGTCAGTTGGGTAGCTGGATGTTTGTATTTACACATTTATTTGCAACCATAGGTTTTAGCAAAAAAATAGCTTGACATAGCCCAGAGTAAAATGGCAGAATGGTCACTAATTTGATAATAAAATTATCCAGACTTGATAAATAATGAATGAAAGGTAGTGACAAGGAATGCAATAGAAAAATAGTTAACAATCCTCAGTTTATAGTTCTCTATTCAATGTATTACTTTTCTTTATTGAGACAGGGACATATTCCTATGCAAAACTAAACCATGATATGCAAGTGAATGTTCATACCTGATAAACCAGCAATTATAGTTAAATCTGATTATTTCTTAAGTCAGCAAAATAACACAGAGTTTTGGCTGAATGTTTAGCAATTAATGAGATCGTTTTTAAAACCAGAATTCCTGATTTACCTGATACAATAAACAAAGAACTTCCTAGAATAAAACTGAATTCTGGAGTCCCCTTCCTGTTAACCAGATACAAGAGGGAATGTAGTCTTCCAAACTTCCACATATTTCCTTTCAATTATATATATAGAGTAAACTGTGGCCATGTATTTGCATGTCTGCTAAAGAAAGAGAAAAATCAAATGCCTAACTATTCCATGCCCCTAATTTGAGCTGTCATATCCTAACTTTTGGTGATAAAGGGAAATGCTCTTTATTGTCTCTGTGTTGTTGTTTTTAATTATGCTTAGCATCAAATATGTGCCACCTCCTCCCCACACCCTCAGTATCTAAATGTCATGGACTTTTTTTCAAACGGACACGGGAAGAGAGAAGGCAACTTTTAAGAGGAGCTTTGAATTGGTTACTGTTGCCAGGGAAACCACTTCCCTGGTATCCGCACGTTCAGCACATCTCTCTCTCTCTCTCTCTCTCTCTCTCTCTCTCTCTCTCTCTCTCTCTCTCTCTCTCTCTCTCTCTCTCTCTCTCNTCTATCTATCTATCTATCTATCTATCTATCTATCTATCTCTATCTCCCTCCCTCTCTCCCTGTTTGGCTCTAAGACAACCATGCAGCTTCATGTCATCTTGGGGAGGGGGGAGTGCAGAAAGAGGGCCAGATAGGATGGAACAGCCCATTTTCACTCAATGTGGGTGGGAGAAATTTCAAGACAGAATTGATGATGCCCCATTTTTCTATAAACACCCTGAGCATGGCAGATGGCTTGATCTTGATTTCTGGGAAAGGCCAATAAAGAGACAGACAGTCAAAATTATGCTCTCCCTCCATCCCCAGCATCATTTTAATTTCCAGTTTTGGGGTTACTGGTCTGTTCACTGCAGCTAGAAGCTTGGGCAACCATGCTAGCTTAGAGTGACTTTGACAGGTCATGGTTAGCTCACCTCTCAGAAAAAAAAATGGATTCGATCTTTATTATTCATACTACTGGACATGAGCTGTTTTAAAGCATGGACTGTTTTAAAGCATGGACCACAAAAAGCCCTCATCGGTTTTTGTGCAGCTTTTATACAGGATCTTTGGAGGCCTTTCTGCTTTTTTTTCCCTTTCCACTTTCCAAAAGATTAGTGAAGATGGGGATCAAAATCATCGTTTCCCACCACTAGTAGTGGATGGTGAGAAGGATAGAGCTTTACGAAAACAATGCTGTGGACAAAAGCCCTGATAATCATTCTGTACATTTGACTAGTCAGAGATAATGCCTTCTTTTATCGGGCTGTAGCTGAATATATTATTGTTATAAGCAGCTCCGTATTGACCCCGTTCCTGCAAGTGAGATAAAGTAAATTTGCTTTGCCATCGCAACCAATACTGCTAGTCCATGACATTTTACGGCTGAAATTTACTGCCAAAATTCCTGTGAGATGGAATTACGTTGCTTATGCGTGTTACTAAAATGTGACAGGAAAGATTTGTGCAGGAGCCATTTCAGCCATAGTCCAACCTAGAGAAGCTAGAATATTTTCCTGGAATGTCAGTGGAACAGACACAAGTTGGCATGTTTTATCTTTCAACAGATTAAGTCCTGGCGAGTTTTCTTCAAACTGGTGCCATTCATCCAGAGATATTGAGAATTCTGGAATTTGGCTTTAAACCC